TTAAGCCAATTTTCTCTTAGGTAAAGATATATAACGCAACTTTAGCAAAAGGATCAAATTAGATGGAAACATTTTAAATGCAAATCTAGGATCATGGTATTAATATGAAAATAATGTCTTCTCATTTGAACTCTTCCTTACATTTCTATGGATACACCAATTCTTCACAAATTAGATGTGCTTTCTTTATATCTAAATCTTCGATACTAAAAAAGAAAGCCCTTCATTTTCATGCTGCCAATGTATAGAACTGGTTTCCAAATGGCAGCAAAGGTGATCTTAACTGTGTTCTTTGGATAAAGGAAACTTCAGCATGCTTTTAGAGATCAAATTTTGCAGTGTATGAAAGCATTTAATATCCAAGTAGGTTGTTAATTACTCTACAACAAGGGGAATTTTTGACATCATGCTTAAAAGACACAAAGGGAGGATTATGGTGACTTAACTGCCACCCAGCTGAAGCTAGGTGCTAATGTAAGTACATCTCACATCTCTGCAGTTCAGCCCTACAAGTAGAAGGCAACACCCCCACTATAACTGCCAAGGCATCATCCTGCTGAGAACTGCTAAGCCATCATCAAGCTGAGGAATAAAACTGTTAAAAAGCAACTTGAATCTTTGAAGACCATTGGGAAGAAATTTATCTGTGTTCTTTGTTAAACAGAAATAGAGAACTGAATTGTTGAAATTGAAGACAAAAGTGTTGGAGGGATATATATACCAAGCAGATGGGCAAGAGTATGGCAATCATACTCTTTCTTCTATCAGATCTTGGCAGTGATGTTTTCAAGCTACACAGGAATAGTGACTACACTCTGAAATATACACTTGTGGCACTTATTCCTTTTCCTCTTTTTAAAAAGCCTTGCCAGGCTGGGCTCATCTGTAATCCCAGCTACGAGTAGAATAAATAGGACTGTGGTCCAGCCAGCCTGGGCAAAAAGTGTGAGACCCTATCTGAAAAATAACTAACCATAAAGGGCTAGAAGTATAGCTTAAGAAGTAGAGAACTTACCTAGTAAATATGAGGCCTCGAGGTGAAAACCCCAGTACCACCAAAAAAGAAAAAATTTAAAAAAATACAAAGCTTTATAAAACATCTGTAGAGACACCATGTGATTCACAATCACTTTCAGAGAACTTGAGATGAACTTGTGCTGCATGCTATGTATATTTCAGCATCAAAGAGTCAAAGATGGAACTTACTTGTAGGACAAAATTAAAATGGGAGGGAAATGAATCTTAGCAAGAACACATCTCTCATGGATGTGAGAGGCCAGGCTGAGCTGACTTGCATAATAACACAAGCCAAGCCAACTAACATAAAGAATAGCACAAGAAAAACCAAACAGCACTTTGAGAACTGATACTGTATGCCTTTCAGAAACTCACTGAATATAAGGTTTGTGTCTTCTGTAATATAATGAGCAATAACAGCAATGACAAATAAGTCTGGTTAATTTAAAACTGAAGAAAAATATGAACTTGCAACTTACTTTGAGATTTTAGAACGTGTTTTTCAGAGGTCAAGGGAAAAGAAAATGCTTGACAAATCAATAATAAAATCAGTCTTAAACTTTTAAAAATCAGTTTTGGTACTATATACTCCTTTTGCTTTCTTGTTCCCTTCTAGTTTAACAGACACTAAGAAAGGACAAAGTACAACAAATTAACAAAAATATACAACTGTCTTCTTAACTTCTGGTCATAGAAACAAATGGATGGCAAATTTAATACGCGCTTGAGACCAACTGAGGCCAATTATAATTATCTTGCTGGGAAGAGAAATTAATTAGGCATCCCAGTGATAAAAGACCCCAATAGCACCAAACCTAGAACAAACACCCATGGAGGAGAGAGACTGGAAATAATGGGGAAGGGAAGTGAGCCCGTCTGTGCAGACAGTAATGGACTGGGTAATCTTTTCAAGAGTACACAGTGCATTACACTGGAAATGAGCCTACCTGGCAGGCAAAGTCAGCTGAGTTCCTAATTCTCTTCTTCAACTTTGTGATTTGCTAATGTGAAACACATGTCTCCCTTTTGCACCAAGTTCAAATAACTCTGGAATTCCAACTGTGCAGCTCAGCGACTGAACCAGAACAAGGGGAGAACTTGTCAGGATTTAAGAGCTTTCAGCAAAGCCCTTCAATTGCAGCCAGCACCCTATTCCACGGAAGGATATCAATTATAGATAGTGACTTGCTTTAGCAGGCAGTCGGAACTGTCAGACACTAGATAGACAACCATGAAGAATCATGAATCTTTCTATTAACTGTAAGAGGGGGAAAAAGAATGGGTCACGGCTGTAAATAAGGCAGAGCATCAGAATGGTTTAACACCTTGCTGTTGGGTTGTATGTGGCATGAAAATTCAACTAATTCTCTCCAAGGGAAGTCACAGGAACCTCAACAGTTAATGCTTCCCTCTGTCCCTAAAAACGTGGCCTTTGTAACTGGTATTCTTTCCATCTGCCACCAACGTAATTAGGTGGACTTGAAGTAGCTTTCAACAAAATATAAACCACCAGGCCACTGCTAATGCTACCACATACACTCATGAGTAGGAAGGTATGCATGTATCAGGTGATGGAAAATCAATTTAAACACACAAATTTGGAATTTCTGTAGTTCAGACACCAGTAAAAAGGTGGACTATAAGTGATATAAACCAGTGTTTTTATTTATATTGTTATAAATTATAATTTTCAATTCACTTAATTAAGTTTATTTAGTCATATAATTTATTTAGGACTAAAATTAATATCACAAAGGAGTTTCTTATAATCCTGACATAAATTTTTCTGGCTGATTTGGAATAAAAGAAGATTCCACTGTATGTGGGTGTGTTCATAATTTTTAAAGATAGCTTCCATAAAACAGAAAACATGGTGGTCATTCAGGTAGTTTAGGCAGCCTTCCCTTACAACTCTTTAGATCTCTATGAAAACATCACAGGGACTGAGATTAAATGCAAATACCTACAACTTTTACTGCCTTAAAAGCTTTCACATCATTTGGACAGTGAAAGGGTTAAGTTGCTACCCCAATCAAAAGAATGTTACCTCAGACCCACCTTTGCATGAGGATCCCAGTTCATTTCAAATGCAAACGTAAGCTAGTCTTCTATTTCATTCCTCAGTTGATATTGGCAGTCCTAGCACCAGCATCATAGCTCTCCTTGGAAACTACAATGACTTATCCTCCAAACAGTCATTATGAGACTGCTTCAGCCCTCAGGATATGTGTGTGGGTGTGCTTCTGATGCTGGGAATAGAACCCAGGGCCTTGCACACGTGAAGCATGTGCTACCACTGAGCTACACACCCACTCCTCTCAGAAGGGTATTTTTTTAAAGCAAGCAGCACTGTATCTTTTCTATCATGCTAGCTTTGACACAAATAACACTCTTCATTACATTGTTTATTCATCTATCATTGACAATATTCATAGCACATGCTAGTCTTTGAGAATATTTCTTCATAGTAAAAAAAAAATTCCCAACTTTTCACCCCCCCCACTTAGTATTATAATGCCTTTGTGGTTTCCATTAAAGCAGTTGGCAAGAATCAAGGGTCATTAAGTCAGACTTGGTTTAAAAATAATACTTGCATCAAATTAAAGAGAAAAAAATCAAATTACACTCACAGAACAATCTGGAAATATACCATAATTAAAAACATTTGACTTTTTAACTTTTTGCTGTGCTCGGAAATCTATGTTCTTCCTATACAATTACAAAGAGACATGATTAAAAGAGAAATGGGGGAGGCCTTGCTGATGTCATGTACAATCCTCAAAACATTCTGACTACGTCTCTCATAACCTGGCAAGCTGTGTATCTAACCTTACCACGTAACTGCGATGGGTGGGCAGCGCAATACAGAATGAGCTAAGTTGTAAAAGTCACACTCTGAAATCTCATGCAGCCAATGCAACATCAGAGGGACTTTATAATTTGTACGTTTAATCTAAATGGAAGAGAGTTAGCAAGAAATACGGATCAACTGAAATATAACATTATCGTAAAAGAATGGATAATGAGTATTTGTGTATATGTGTGGTGGGTATGCACGTATGCATATCCATGCATAAGTGTACATGTGAGAGATGCAATCGCGACAAGGGCTTCTTTGTCAGATCTTCCATAATATTGGAAACTGAAGAAATTGCCCTATTTGGTGAAACCGTACTTAATGCCTCAACCCATGCTTCTGCACACAAGTTGTCTGAGCCTGTATCTTTTTATTCTGGCAGCTCTAAAGGACTCCAAATGTCCTTGTTCTTGGTTCCATTTGCCAGGGAGGCTGCCACTGACCTTAGAGAAAGTGCCAAGTAGCAGGAAGAAGAGGTAAAGGAGGTATGGAGGTGTGAGTGCACTATACCATCTGAAATCACACAGAGGAGAAGAGCCTGGACCTGGTATGGTAAGGGAAGGTATGGTTCTCAATCAGATTACTACATGGTTTTCAAAAACAAAGATCATGAAACACATCTAAAAACACATGCAATTTTGTCCACGACACTATTGGTCCTTTAGGGTTGCCCTCGCTGACTGCTGCATACACTAATGGGAGGCTCCTTAGGCTTTTGAGGAGGTGGGGAAGGAACCCCCCATCTCTACAATTTTTTCTATTGTTACTGGGTCTTGGAAGGGGACTCAAACCTGGTTAAAAGGTTAATAATAATTCATGTCCAGCTTACTATTACTCAATAACCATCAAAGCCACTAACTCAAAATAGTGTTTTCTGGCTTATGGGATCAGAGTCATTACACTCTCTATTGAAGACTTTATTGAATTTTACACTAAGCTTTAGCTGACTGAACAGGTCAAGCACCATAGCTCAGAGTTTTCTTTATTCTCAGAAAGTCATAAAGGCCTCTCCAGTTTGCAACGCTTCAAGCTAAGAAACTTGACTCAGTGCAGGGTCAGAGAAGCTGACCTCCTAGCAAAAGGTCACATAGTTGGAAGGCCCAGTGGCTGAACACTGGTCACTTACGTGCACGAGCTGATCCTGGGTGTCGAACTCCCGGGTGCAGCCTTCCCAGTGGCAGTTTGTCTCATAGATGACTTCAGGCTCCTGCTTGCTTTCATCTTTGTCCCCCTCCTCCTTGACTAGGGTGGTTCCTTCTGGCTGCTCCTATAGGGGTGGGGGAAGGGAACAGAGAAGGGGAAAAATCAGACACAATGGGAAGAAAGAAGAGAAAGGAGAAAGCTGATTTAGATCTGTCTTCCTCCTAAAGCAGTTTTCCAGCCATAATAAAATAGAGCCAAAGTCACACACCTGGATTGTGACTAAAAGAAGTCTAAAGCCTGGAAATATCTGTGTGTAGTTTTTGTTTTTTTTTCAGTTTTCCCAAACACACCTGAGAATTCTTAAATTTGAGATTGAAGACAACAGCTGAAAGCATAATAAAAATAAAAAGCTGAAGCCAAACTTTGCTGCCCTGAATATAAAGCTAAAAGTAAACCAAGGTGAAAGTAAACCAAAATGACAGCTTGAAAAACCCAAGACAAAAAACCCAAAACAAAGTCCATAAGAGAATCAATTCTTTACCCAAAGTTGGCTCCATCTTTCTTCCACCTTGTTGAGTTGTTTTAATTCTTTTTGGTATATTAATGTCCTCATTCCTATATTTTGTAATTCAGGAAAATGGTTGATAAATACTTATAATTCTGTTTTCTCTGCTTTTGGGGCTGTAGAAAGCACGCTGTGGACTTTTGAAGTCTTGGTCATGCCTTCTTGGTCAGCCTCTGGTCTCTAGGGATACATTTGTGGTCCAAGGCCTAGGAACCACAGTACCTAATGTTTCACAGCATGGTCTGATCTCATCTTCACAGTAATGCAATTCAAAGAATTTCCAAAACTATAAGAAATGTTGAGGTGTGTAAATTTGAGTTCTAATCTAGAGCTGATTGATAAAACCTGTATATTGGCATTAAGTTGTAACTAGTTAAGGTTGTTGTCTAGAGGACTGTAACAAAGAGGATGGAGTTCAGAACCCCTGTCACCATCTGAGTCCTCATCAAAGTTCTAGCTGAAAGGGAAATTTGGGCGAAGGCATGCTGAGGTTTGTACTGAAGCAGCCTGAGGATAGCAATATTCAGGTCCTGTGGATGTTTAGACTCTTGTCCAGCCTGTGTTTAGGGAAATTAACATGCACTGAGCTATGGGCAAGTCAGGCACAAGAACTGAGGAGATGGCATTTTGGGTTTGACCTACACATTCTTTAGCAGAGGCCAGAGGTTTGAAAAACTAGAAGCAGAGATCAGAATATAACTAGCCTTAGGTTAGCTGTACCTTGATCCCTCTTGGTTCTCCAGGCTCTCCTGCCAAGTGGGAAGTAGCAAAATAAGAACATGCTCAGAGTAGGGAACATCATAAGCTCTGCCTAAGCATAAGTAAGCTTGGGGCCAGAACTTCAGGCTTGAGATCAGGACAGGAACCAGTGAGTCTATGAACTACTTACCTAAACTCTTAAGTTGTCTCAGCTACCAAGAACATACACCCCACACAGCTTCCTGCATTGCTCATGTTTGCTTCTGAACTAGGGAAATGAATTTAGCAATTCTATAACCAGCCCAAGTTAGTATGGTCAAGGCCAAAATCATTAGATGAGAAAATACTATGAAATGATACCCGTCTGGGGAGGCAGCAGGAAGCTGGACCAAAGACAGCAGACTGACAGGGGTGGAAGCTGGCCTACCCAGCCTCGTTGGCCTACCTGTTGGCCCCGTACTCCTGGGCTGGGGAGATCCTCATCCGGTTTGATTTTGGACCGCTTATTATGCATTGGGTCACCAGTGCTGCTCACTGCAGACTCACTTGTGGGTTTGCTCTGCTGTCACATTTGCAGGGCCAGAGACAAAAGTAAAACTTTAGTCAATGAATGAAACCATAATTAAGCCCTGTGTCTCAAGACCAGTCAGCTTATTTGGCCACAGAGCAATGACTGATTGCTATAATCCTCTGTAGTAGAGTTCAGACAATATGATCAAATTGGAAAATATATCATGAGGCAGCTCTCCATTTCTAGCTCATGAGTATAAATTCCCTGTGGCTTCTGAAAGCTACAAGAATAGAGTTAGGACCCTATACTTTAACAAGCCCCAACAGCAATTTCAAAGGAATAAAGTACTGATGTTAGGTAGGAGACCATCACAAACCATTTGTGAAGGTCTTTAACGATTCCTCTCCCAACAATATCAGGGTGGCAATAAGAATGGGGGGACTGACACAGTTTTATTCTTACTTAACCATAGTCATGATGCTCAGTAGCAACCTGGTTCTAGCAAAGGAAGTGTGCAGTGGTCAAATGAGGGCAATACATTCACACAAACTATTTACAGTGGGTGTGGTTTATAGATGGCACCAGGTCGGAGTGTGGTCTCATGGAGCACCTGATTTTCCAGCCATGAAACAATGGCTCTGGTGGAAGACATTCTGGCTCAATGAAGAGCACGAGCACAGCACATTCCTTAAAACTGAAGAACACACCCTTGATGAAAGAAGGCAGGATGCCAATGTGAAGCCCTGAGAATGCCAGAGTTCCAGGCTAATGGTGGCAAGGCTTGTCCTCTGTTGACCAGGACAGAACAGAGCATGGAGCTGCTTTTCTCACCTGTGAGGACTCAGAAGGGCCGGAGTTGACCTGGACAGGGTTGAGAACTGTAGGGATCCCTGGAATAGGCCTCTGTGTTGGAAAAGTTGGGGCCGGGTGGATGAGTGGAGGGCTATGTCCAAAGGCAGAGCCTAGACTTTGCTGTCGGCTTAAAATCTGTTGATGCATGTGGAGAGAGACGGGTGCAGATGGGTAGGTAAAGCTCAAGGCAGGGCTGTGTGCAGAGATAAAAAAAATAGATAACCTTCACTTATGTGGACCTCAGAAATAAATACACAGCATTTACAGCTTCGTGCTCATAAGGTTACCATCCCAACTCACAGGGGATCAGTATGTTTGAATGAGGCAGTAGACATAACTACTGCCAAACATTCTGAAAACTTCTAAGAGAAATATGACTACTGAAACTGGGCATGGTGGCACTCACCTGCAATCCAAGTACTGAAGACGCAGAGGCAGGAGAATCTTAAGTTCAAAATGAGTCTGGGCTATATAGCAAGACTCTGTCTCAAAACAAAACACACACAAAAAAAACCCCCAACTCCAGAAAAACAAAAACATGACTACCAAGAGCAAACTTGAGTGTGTATGTGCCCATACCCACAGACCTGAAGTAAGATTCTGCAAACGGAAATAAAAAGCATCAGCTCAATAATAACTATTTATTGCAATAACAAACTTTATATAAAAAAGAGAATGTGTGACTACATGCTTTATAGTACTTTTATGGGCTCTGAGTTCCACATGTTCCTGTGCGTGGTTGGAGCAATTTCTTTAATCTTAGCTCACACCGTGTGCTTTCATATGTCTCCAGATCTTATTACAAGAGGAAAGAAAATCAATTGGTTAAATGTGTTTTGAACACCATGCTTGTCATATCACTCATTTGTTTGTAAAGATGGAAAGCTTGGTTCATCCAGAATGCCACCTAAAGAATTTCCATCAGCACCGTCTGGTTACAGAAGCTGATGGATTAACCTCTCCCCACTGAAATCGATGATCAATGGGTTTTGATGGAGGAATATTCCAGTGGGAGAGCACAGCTCCCTCCTCCAGCTAAACAGCATTAAATGTCTATTACAGCCCATTATGCATGCTAATGCCTGTCACCATTTTATTATGCCACAGTATTTCCCTGGCTGTAAGTTCCCAGGAAGTGATGCTATTTCCTAAAGATTTCCTGACTAGTAGGTAGTGTCAAATCCTTCCAGCATAGTTTAGGAATCAAATCCTCATGAAAGAATGAAGGGCTCTTGAGGACTTTGCCAATGGCTTAAGAATGCATGGGAAACTAATAATTGCATTTATGGAAATCTTAACAATAATCAGTGAAATATATATATATATATCTTCCTATCCTGCTGTGTAATACCCTGAAAGAATCAGAGTTCTGGTAATGTCAAAGGTAGAATTCATGTAAATTTCCAATCTAGTAGGCTAATTACTATTGCTGTTAAGCACATTAACTGAGAATAAAATAACTACAATAACAAAATTCAAACCCTTTCAACAACTTTAAGTAATAATTCCAGAGATATACTCTGTTCATTAATGTGACTCTACATTTTTGCCTATTTGACTACAATCTATAAAAGGCACTTCAATGGGATTATATTACTATTATTCCTACAGAGAACCTTCCATTACAATAGCTTGCCTTTTTAAGACTGAATACCATTAAGAATAGCCTATGAGAATTCCACCAGGCTTTGAGGAACTCTCTTTTCATTCTGCATTGTATTTCTTTAATAAAGGAAAGCAGAAACATGGTAAAAACAGTCATTGTTCACAGTAAGTTAGGGAGAAATCAGTAATAATATTCCGTTTCTGCACACTATAGTTTCTGCCAGTGTTTCCGAAAGCAACCATGAATGATTACAGCAAGACTTAGCTAAGGTAGCTGTGTGGATGATTGATAGGGTATTAATCAAAAGATGCATATCTGCCTCAGAATTTGTTCACAAGCTTTCTTCTAATAGCTGATTTCATGTTCACTGAGCTCTATGCCAGTTTGTCCAATTTATTTTTCAGTGTACAAGCCATTCATCAAAAAATACAATGATTTAACACCCCCCTTTCCTTTGGGTGAATAGGTATTACTAAGTGTAACTACCTTATTCTGTTCATTAACGAAACAAAAACCAAAAGACCCTACTTCATGTATAATTACAACATCAGGCTGACTTTGCATGGACCTCCACATACCTTTCTAGAATCCCAGGGGTCTGAACTATCCAGCAGGCTCAGGGAAGAGACCCAGAAAGTCACTGACACTTTTAATTGTGGAAGGAATAAGATTTGGGGCTTAAAAACCCAATACATGATTATAAGTCAAGACTAGTAAAGAAAACATTTCACAAAGTAAAACATGCCCTTGGTTTTCAAATACAAGCAATTCGCAAATGCTAAAAACTGAACAGAGTAGGTACATTTTTTAAAAGATGCAGGAGAGAAGACAAATCAAGGCCCAGTATTCCCATGGCAGTTCCTCCTTGTTCTCAAGGTGCACAGGTCTGCATTGTGAAGGCTTTCAACATACTTTGGCAATGACCACTTTCAGGATTGCAATTATGCTGGTAAAATGAGGTGACTGAAATAAATATGCTCTAAAATCCACCTCAAATTTTAGACTGCAAGGGCTATGAGAGCCCAGAATGGACTTGTGATTTCCAGCCTTCAGAGCTTATTCACAAAAAGCCAGCAATGGAAACACTTCTCTGCATGCCAAGACCTGAGCACAGAGCAGAACCAGGCTGCCTGGTCTCCACCCACAAGAGCTGGCCCCGTCCTGCTGCTGCCACTGGGTCCTGGGAGGAGCTGCAGACATGGGGACTGTTGGCTTCTGATCACAAAACTGATTAGAACTTAAAAGCAACAGTAGAAAGTTCTTGGTTCCATCACAGTATCGGTTAATGGATTTGGCAACCAAGGCTCTTCTGCTTCCCGAATATAGCCAAAAGAGTGCTTGGACTAAGTTTCCCAAGGAAGAAGCAGAAAATGGGCCATGATTGAGCACTGCAGGTGGGATTTTAAGAACCACAGTGTACTTTTTCTATCAAGTGATGCCTCCCACAGGCACCCTTATCCCTCTGGAGGGAGAAAACTGTAGAAAAAAAATCTCCCAAGCCATTTTGGTATCTGGGTGGTAAGGAAGCCCAAGCCATCACCTCCTAATCTCTAAATCTATGCAGCAGGACAAGGGCAGAGCACAGCCCTGAACCCCAACAAGTCCTTGCCTCTTGCACAGTGTATCCCCCAACTAGAACCTTTTGCTTCCAGAGCTCAGCATGATTGCTTTCCTGTCACCATTCCAGTTCTAGCTTAAATGTCACCTATTCAGAGATCTTGGATGAATGCCCCATCAAAACAAGCCCCACTGACACCTTCCTGCCTTGTCATTATTATCTACTTTTGGAAGGTAACAGCAGCACATGACACTCTCTCAAATTACTTTCTCTTTCTCCTTCTAGAAGCTAGGACTCAGGTGATCTGGGCACTGGATCCTGGCACACAGCAAGCACTGAGTCAAAAAGTGACTGGATTTTCCTTCTCTGTGTATTCGTTTCCTGTTGCCACTGTAACGAGTGATCACAAGCTTAGCTTTAAAAAAGCACACTTTGTTTATCATCTTACAGTTCTGGAAATCAAAAGTCTAAACTAGGCTGGCAGAGTTGCATCTCTTGGAGGTTCTGGGCTTCTTGCTTCTTCAAGAAACTCTAGAGGCTGCCCACAACCCTTGGGTCAGGGTTCCATTTCACTCTGATTCTTCTGAATAAGTCTGATCCTCCTGCTGCTGCCTCTTATAAGGACCCTTGCCATTACCTTAGGGCCACTTGGACAATCCAAAATAATGTACTCATCTCAAGATTTGTAGCTTAATCACATTTGCAGATTTCCTTTTAGAATGTAAGGTCCCAGAGATTAGGATGTGGACTGTTATTCTGCCTACCATACTCAGAATAATCATGTCAAAGAGAAATGTTGCATTTATAAAACAGTATTGCATCATCAAACCTGGGGTTTAACTTCACTTCTTGCTATAGCACTTGGTCAGCTAAGCAAAGACTTTGCTGATTACAAAGCACAGAAATTAAAAAGGAAAAGTAAATTCTACTTCAGAGGCCTGGGGGTGGGGGAAGAAACTTGCTAATTAATTCATATATTCATTCCATAATTTTCTAGAAATAAAAAGTATCAATGTTGTTGAAAATTTTCATAAATCTCTCATGTCTCTTCTACAAAAGATATAGTCTGAAATTTGGTACCTGAGCACTACCATCTCACAGTCTTTACGTCTCTACTCACCTGTGCTTCCCTATGAGTTACTTAATGAGAGATTACTTTTATATTCTGATTCTGAATTCTTTTCATTCAATAATTATCAGCTTTTCTTTAAAACCTTGTTATGTCTTTCATTTCTTTTCTAAATAGCTATAGGAAAGATGGGGTCATTTAAGAAAACATCAACAAACCAAACAGTGACACAACTGTTACTCTACATTTCGTCAACAAATTCAGGACAAAGAATATAGATGGCTCAGGTATTCCCCAGCAATGTGCTAACATGCTCACATGCCTCCTGTGATAAGGTCATCTGTAAGGAAGTACAAAGGAGGAAAGGACAAAGAAGTGACAAGGCCACACAACTGGGGATGAGGTGGGGTGGAGACACAGCCCTGGAGGAGCTGTGACTAGGGAACATGCACTCCAAATGGTCCATACAGATACCACTTGCAGCAGTATTTGGAAAAGATTTTAGAGACAGTATTCTAAGACACACTTTGAGAAACACTCTTCGAAAGTAAATTAAGTAGCCAGAAAACATTAAGGTAAGTGCTAATTTGCCCTTCGTTTTACTAAGGAGTAGAAAAGAAAAGAAATGTGGGTTTAGATTGCTGACTAACCAAATAAGATTTATGATAACTGGAGGGCTGGTCTGGACATTCCACTGGATGCCATGAGTTAAATGCAGGATTCTGAGGGTATTTGAAAGAGAGCACCCGCTCAATCAGTTCTACCTTTGCATGCATCTCTGAGCTGAGTTCCAAGTGAGCAACAACTGACTTAGAAACAGTTGTTTTCCAAAGATTTAAAAATAAAATTCTCAAAAATCTGAGTCTTTAAGAAAATTCTGACCTATATTAATTCTCCATCAAAAATCTTACACAGTATGACCAAAGTGTGCAAACTAGGGCTGGGGATATAGCTTGGTAG